ATAGTATAGCATGTCATAAAGTTTTTTTTTAAAAATGTCATAGTATAACATGTCATAAAGGTTTTTTTAAAAAATGCCATAATATAGTATGTCATAAGAAGTTTTTAAAAAATGCCATAGTATAGCATGTCATAAAGTTTTTTTTAAAAAATGTCTCAGTATAACATGTCAAGTTTTTTTTAAAAAAATGCCATAGTATAACATGTCATAAAGGTTTTTTTTAAATGTCATAGTATAGCATGTCATAAAGTTTTTTTTAAAAAATGTCATAGTATAACATGTCATAAAGGTTTTTTTAAAAAATGCCATAATATAGTATGTCATAAAAAGTTTTTAAAAAATGCCATAGTATAGCATGTCATAAAAAGTTTTTTAAAAAATGTCGTGGTATAGCATGTCATAGAAAGTTTTTAAAAAATGCCATAGTATAACATGTCATGGAGTTTTGTTTTTTTTTTAAAAAATGCCATAGTATAGCATGTCATAAAAAGTTTTTAAAAAATGCCATAGTATAGCATGTCATAAAGTTTTTTTTAAAAAATGTCTCAGTATAACATGTCAAGTTTTTTTTAAAAAAATGCCATAGTATGACATGTCATAAAGGTTTTTTTTAAATGTCATAGTATAGCATGTCATAAAAAGTTTTTAAAAAATGCCATAGTATAACATGTCATGAAGGGTTTTTTTTCAAATGTCATAGTAAAGCATGTCATAAAATTTTTTTTTTTAAAAATGTCATTGTATAACATGTCATAAAGTTTTTTTTAAAAAATGTCATAGTATAGCATGTCATAAAAAGTTTTCAAAAATTGTCATAGTATAGAATGTCATAAAGTTTTTTAAAAAATGTCATAGTATAACAAGTCAAAGTTTTTTTTTAAAATGCCATAGTATAGCATGTCATGAAAAGTTTTTAAAAAAATACCATAGTATAGCATGTCATAAAACATTTTCAAAAAATGTCATAGTATAGCATGTCATAAAAAGTTTTTAAAAAATGCCATAGTATAACATGTCATGAAGCTGTTTTTTAAAATCCCATAGTATAGCATGTCATAAAAAGTTTTTTAAAAAATGCCATAGTATAGCATGTCATAAAAAGTTTTTTAAAAATGCCATAGTATAACAGGTCATAAAGATTTTTTTTAAATGTCATAGTATAGCATGTTATAAAGTTTTTTTTAAAAAATGTCATAGTATAACATGTCATAAAGTTTTTCAAAAAATGTCATAGTATAGCATGTCATAAAAAGTTTTTAAAAAATGCCACAGTATAACATGTCACAAAGGTTTTTTTTAAATGTCATAGTATAGCATGTCATAAAGTTTTTTTAAAAAATGTCATAGTATAGCATGTCATAAAAAGTTTTCAAAAATTGTCATAGTATAGTTTGTCATTAAGTTTTTTAAAAAATGTCATAGTATAACAAGTCAAAGTTTTTTTTTAAAAAATGCCATAGTATAGCATGTCATAAAGTTTTTTAAAAGATTTCTTAGTATAACATGTCAAGTTTTTTTAAAAAAAATGCCATAGTATGACATGTCATAAAGTTTTTTTTTTTAAAATGTCATAGTATAACATGTCATAAAATTTTTTTTAAAAAATGTCATAGTATAGCATGTCATAAAAAGTTTTCAAAAATTGTCATAGTATAGTATGTTATTAAGTTTTTAAAAAAAATTCATAGTATAACAAGTCAAAGTTTTTTTTTAAAAAATGTCATAGTATGGCATGTCATAAAAAGTTTTTAAAAAAGGTTGTGGTATAGTTTGTAATAATACTTTAAAAAAAACAAAACAAAAAAAAAAAACAATGCCATAGTATAGTATAGTATGTCCTAAAAAGTTTTTAAAAATTGTCATAGTATAGTATGTTATAAAAAGTTTTATTGCCATAACATGGCATGTCATAAAAAGTTCTAATATAAAAGTCGTAGTACAGTATCTCATAAAAATACCATAAATATGCCATAGTATAGAATGTCGTAAAAAGTCATTACAAAATGTCATAATATAGTATGCCTTAAAAAAATCCTAAAAAATGTCATAGCATTGTTGTTAAAAATTAATACATAATGTCAAAGTTGAGTTTGTCATAAAAAAATACCTAAAAAGTCATATAATAGCATGTCAGAAATTTAAAAAAAAATGTCATAGTATGTCATAAAAATTTTTTATTGTTATAACATGGTATATCATAAAACGTTCTAAAATAAAAGTCATAGTACAGTATGTCATAAATATGCCATTAAAATGCCATAGTATAGTATGTCGTAAAAAGACATTACAAAATGTCATTATATAGTATGCCTTAAAAACACCCTAAAAATTGTCATAGTATTGTTGTCAAAAGTAATACATTATGTCAAAGTTGAGTTTGTCATAAAAAATACAAAATGTCATAGTATAGTATGTCATAAAAGGTTATTGAAAAAGTCATAGTATAGTATGTCATAAAAAGTTATTAAAAAATCAGTAATTTATGACATAAAAAATGTTGCAACAATGTCATAGTATGTCACAGATAACAATACAAGTTTGTCATAAAAAAAATTCTTATAGAATACTTTGTCATAAAATGCTATAGCACAGCATGCCATAAAAATGTTCCCCCATTCCCCATGTTAAATTAGTGATTATAGCCCTGCTCTGTTGATCTGTTAGTGACCATATAATATGAACATGTTTTAGGTTGCCACAATGTTAAAATCCCATATGCTCTTCTCTATGTGGTAATATTTTATGTTTGTGTTGTTACTGATTAGCTAATTCTCATCAGTGTCTCACCTTATAATAAGCTATGAAGTCTGCCATATAAATGTTAATAAAGTCTAATAAAGGGTTTTACAACAATCCACCTAGTCTGCAGCTGCATATTGTTACTACTGCAATAGTTTCCCAATACTGGAAAATATGCATATGCGCTTTCTCATAGGTACTTAGAGGAGAAAATTGATATAACTCATATATGTCTGTGAAATATGAATCTACATCCAGCAGCTGATCATTTTAGTTTAGGTGGTGTTATCTGGTGATGTTAAAGACAAAAGTGTATTATTGGTTGCTTGCAAAGATGAGGTAGCTAAAGAAGATTATTCTGATTGTTTTTTGCTTCCAGTAATGGCAAAATAAAGGAGGTAAAACATGTCAACAAGTCTCTCAAACTCTCTGCCCACCAAAATAACCATAAAACCTAATACTGCCACTACCTGTGGATACTGTAACTCCCTGATAATTGCCTTCTAACTAATTCATGTAGGGCAATACCCAGCATAACTCATTTACCAACTTCAAGGAGCGTGTGGAGCTTACTGACCTGTCAATGCCTACTTTTCATATTCTCATTTGCTGCTTTCAGTGACAGTGTTTAGGACGTAGTGAGATGGGAATACAATTAGGCAGCACAGAGAGAATAACAAGTGAAACAGGCTTTTTCTTTGTTTACGGCTTGTTAATGTTCAAGACGAGGGCTCAGGAGAGAAATACTCTGACAGCACAGGCGGAGGCAGAGGTTACACAAGTCTCCCCAAGCAGCTGCCTCTACTGCACACACAAACCCCAGAGGAAACCTAGGACAAGTCTGCTCGTAGAGGTGATAGACACTGCAGACGCCCACCTGGAACAGAGGTGCCGAGGGCCACGAACACCACAGCGGTGACCGAGTCTTTAAGACCAATGGTGCAGCCTAAATGAGAGGCCAAGTCCCCAGTCACAGCTGTCAGAACGCCGATGAGGGAAATGGACACGAAGAAGCAGGCCCAGCCATTCCAGTACTCAGTGGGTGGGACAAAAGCGAAGAGGACTTTCCAGAAAACTGTCAGGAAGTGCATAATGTAATCAAAGCAGGATGGCAAGCGTTCCTCCCCACTCTCTTCCTCATCATCGTCACCTGGTGGAGACAGAAAAGATGCGTCAAGTCCTGAAAAATATGTACAAATACTTGCTGTGTCTGCCTTCTCTGCTGATAGACTGTCTCAGGCCAGGTCCTGCCGTATACAAAACTTAATCAAACCAGCCATATTGAAACCATGTTAAAGTGTGGCAGACAAGAATAATTTCATTTTCAGACAAAGTTATTAAATTTGGAGTGAAGTTAATTTCTTTCCTGTCTCGGCTATCACAACATTTTCAGGACATGTAATTTTATTTTCAGTTGTAAATGTGCATTAATATTGGTTACTGTTGAGGCCGTGCAGCCAGTAATACAAAAAGAGGAATGTAGTTATGTGATGCAGATCTTTGTCTGCGTGGATTAATTGTGTGTGAATCTGTTGGCAATGCCTCAAGAATCCAGTAGGGGCACTGTGCTCCTTCTCCTCACTATAACGATGAGTGAAGACGGGGCAGTGTGATGGTTTCTCCATCTTTCTCTTACTATTTCTCTTGTTTAAGGTAATTACTGTCCGTAAAGCATTATAACTTTGTAAACACACAATTTGAAAATCTTTATGGTTGTTCATTATAATTAAAAGGTACACATTTTATACGTGTTGTTCGAATGTTTCTGGCTAACTCATTTGGTATTTAAGTAAGCTGCCAGAGACATTATGGTCCCGCTGTCGGGTCTGACCATAGACTGTATATAAATCTCCACTCCCCAAAACTGAAGCCATAATATCCCCCCTAATACAGCCGCTGCCATCTTGCGCTGGTGATGTCATTTGGAGCCAGAGTCTGCGCAGTAGTGATCTTCGCAGTATTGACTTCCCACCCATACACCTGTCCGACCAATCGCAAGAAATACCGTCAGTCCCAAACACACCAACTGGCACACATAGCTGTCAATCATGATGTCGAACCCCCTTTTTATAGCATGAAATAACTAATTAAAACCAAACATATTAGAAAAATGAACATTTTAACAAACATCAACATGATAAAAACTACCTAAAATGCTGAAAACTATCTTTACACTACACTGTCCCATCTGCTAACATGGAGGCTGTACACATGAATGTAACAGTACCTATGTTAAAGTTAGTGTTAAAGTTTTAAAAGAAAATAGTCTAAACCATTTAGAGAGTCAAAACTTTAGTCACTACTGTGGTCCTAAAACTGAGTACGTTGATACTCAATATAGACAAGTAAAAGAGAGAGCAGCGTGTTGCTTTCTTCATCCCTCTGTCTTATTATCTCACTTGTTTAAGGGCACAACAAAAGCAGCTAAAAGGAGTTTTTAACTGACAATGAAACAGTTTCAGTTCGATAAAGATGCCCCTTAAAAACCTACATACCAGACCATCAGACAGAAGATTGGCTATTACCATATAGCTATCCTTAATACCTGTCACCGGGTCTGATTCCCTGCCAAATCAGACCATATGATTTATAGCATTCAAACCTGAGGAGCTTATGTTTACATTTCCACAGGTCTGGCAGCAAGTAGTATGTTTTCACACAGTGGGATTACATACAAAGTCAATGCACAGATGCCAAAAGACACAAATTGGGCACCAGAGATCTACTTCTCTATGATAGCGAAGCCAGCAGAGAACATGATGAGTTCTGAAAATATGTGTTTGTTACTTTATTCCAGCTAGGAGCCAAATTAGCACCAATGTTAGCATTAGCTGCCTTTCCCTGCAAACACTCCACTGGCCTTTCCTCACGCAAGTAACGCAAGGCATTGCACTTGGTCTTAAGACACCCTTTTTCTTTTCAATTAAGTTAGATAAAACAGACTAAGTGTGAATGAGGGAGAGAGAGGGGATGACCTAATGGGCGCTGTGGCAAGGACATTCTCCTCATAGTTAAATGTTGAAGTTATGGCTTATTCTGGGGCATGATCAGCAAAGAGAAGAAGAAAAGTACTGATCGGAGAACAAAATCCCCCCCTAAAAGATACAGTGATAGAGCACGGGCGAAAAAACATGAGTTATTGTAGATGGCCATTCAACAGATGTAGACAAATGTAGAATTTGAGAGGATTCAAAAACTGATCCTGAATTAGCCATTTTCATCCTAGAGAGGTATTTAATTTGTCTGTTTTATTTGTGAAATACATAAGCCCTTATTATTCAGGAATTGTGCAAATTTACAGGAAAGCCCAATCAGTCTTCTTTCAGCATTGGCAGCCAAATGCCGCTTGCCTACTTTTGTTTATACAGAATGCGCCTTTTCGGGGCAATGGGGGGCGTGAGCAAGTAACAAAATGTGTAGCTCAGCGTGTGACGTAAACAGTGACGTGGGAGGGAAGCCGCGGCTGGTCAGTCCTTCGGCGATTCTCTCCTAAGTCAGCCCATCCTTCACCGTCCCCGTCATCTGCCTGTTAATGGCCTCTTCATTTGCGAGGACAAGGAGGGCGCGCAATTCCTTGTCTCCCCAGTTGCTCATCTTTACAGTGTCGGTCAGGTTTGCGTTTCCCTCTTGCTACTAGTTGCTCATTCCTGCTATCAGCTGTTTCCTGTTTATCCACAGCTAGTGGGTCGCACATGTGGTGTCATCAACAGCTCCTCCCACAAGTCTCCAATAGCCCCTCCTGTTGCGGAAGGGCGCCTCGGTCTGTTTAAACCAAAAAGGTTCTGGCAATATGATGACCTTACAAGGCGGAAAATTGGGCACCTCGGATCAACCCGTCAATCCAGCTCTGTGTCTAAACGCTCGCAGCTTGCTGGCAAAACGGCCCAACATTCCCAGAAAAATCTAGCAGTGTAAAAGGGGCCCATATGAGATGCAAGATGCACGTTTTATACCAATATGTGTAACATTGGTGGCTAAAACAACAACTTGACTTTGTTTCACCATCATATCACCGTTATTGATCTTATAAAGCCATAAACAGATACATCACCTGTGTACAGCTGTATTTGAAAAAGAAAAGTAGTATTAAGAAGTATTAAAAATAAGTTGTGTCTTTTCTTTCACGTGCTAGCCAGATCAAGATCTTTACAATGGGAAATGCAGTCTTCATTCTGGGAAACATAATGCAACAATCAACATAAAGTGAATGCTCCTTGTAGTTGCTTTAAGTATCACCTGATCTAGCTGTGACATCACATCTCAGGTCAGAAATTTATATTCAATCTTAAGAAAAAGTTGGTGAAACAGTAAATAGTTCCTGCTTCATGGCTCAAACTTAGATAACATGTCTGACGGCAAAATCCAGCCAACATAACACCAACCCCGAGCATATTTAAACCATTTGACGAATGTGTGGGAGATAACCTTTTCAAATCATTACATTAAATCTGTAGATATAACTATGAGTCAGTGATTGAGACATACATATAGGCATGAAGTGTACTTTCTATTTATACACACACTCTCTGCATGAAAATCTGAGCGACCTCAACTACAGAGAGAGAAGGAGAGAAACTGAGAGAAAAGAGCGCATTAGCCGAATGACACATCTCTGGTGTCTAATTCAGCTTTTAGCCCAAATGCTTTGTGCACTCGTGCAGATCTAAAAGGTTCACAAAGCCAAGTGAATGGCTTTTGAAAGGGCAAAATAAAAAGGGTTCACCATACCACATTCGTCTACATAAATTTTTCAAAGCCATTAATTGTCCAGGCAGAGCTGGCCAGTTTTGTTTTTATGGTGAGACACGCGAGGGATTCGCCACATCATGCATTTTTAACAAAGTGTCTAGATTAAAAGGGAGCAGCACATAAACAGGGAACTGCCAAAATACATTAAAACAGGCTTTATTTTTGTAAGCTCTCTCATTCATCATCTGTTAAATTAGGCGTCTTTCTTTAAATTCAGCCAATGTCAGACTGCAGCAGTTGGAATTTTATTAAAGACATATCTGGAAAAAAAAAAGCAGCACAACAGTAAGGCTGGTGAGAAGCAGCTGGTGGGCTACATCCAGCCTGCAGACTCAATCTTCCACAGGTCTGGTCTCAGAGGGATTAACAGATGAGGCGTTTCACACAACGCCACGACTCACCTGCACTGACAGTGACGGCACTAACAAACTGCTCTCTCCAGCTGCTGCTCCCCACCACCAGAGCCAGGTTCGTCTTCTTGATCAGCTTGTCCACCGTGCTCTGCAGACGGCCACAAGGACAAAGACAGCAACAGAAATAAAAAAGCACAAGTCACTGGTAGCCATCTCTTTACAGGTTACTCTGTCATATAAGATTAGGGACGCCAGTGTGTGTGAATTAAGGTGCAATTAACCGTGTCACTCTTTCCACTGTGGTGCACAGTGAGTCACCAAAACAGAAGCAGGGAAGCACAAAACCCCACAATCCCCCAGGAAAAGGGCACATCGCCAGCATAAAGCTGCTTAACACCAGTGCAGAAAGAAGACCCGTTAGTATCAGCACATGAAACTGAAGTCCTGAGTGTAATATCATGTTATTGCTGAAACCGGTCTTAAAGGGGCACACCACCAATTTTATACATATAGATCAGTTTACAGAAAGCCTGCAAAATGGGGGTTACAAACAGGAGCTGTGGAGAATGTAAGACATGGATATTCAAAGCTCCCATGAGACAGCTGCTAGAGTGTCATGTGAAAGCTAGGGGGGCCTTAGAGAGATTGGGACAGCATTATAAGCATTCTTTTAGGGAGGCAACTTTGCCAATCCTATGACAGCAAAGGAATGGCCCACTCTACACTCCCTATGACTGGCTAGTACTCGTTGCCTTCAATGATTAGATTGCTTAGGTTCAGGCAAGAGGAGTTGGATTGGTTAGGGTTAGGTTAAGAATGTCAGGGTAAGCTAATCAGAGGTAGTAAGGTGGGCCATTCCTTCACTATCCTAGGATTAGTAAATTCACAGGAGTCAGCACAACAATGTTAATAGCTAACAACGCTAATGGGAGTTAGCTCACACTCACAGGAGCGACCCGGGGAAAGGGTGAACGGAGGGAGGGTGGGTGTTCACACTGCCACAACGTCATCCCACCACCATGGATCGGGATGGTGTTATTAGCAGTGATAACAGTGCTAATAACAACAACAGTGCTGACAGTGCTAACAATATTAATTGGGGTTAGGTCGCACTGACCAGGGCAACTTAGGGGGGAACCTGAGGGAGGTTGAATGTTGTGCTTCCATGACGACACCATCCAGCCTCCAGGTGCTGGAACAGCATTATCAGCGATAACCCTCAGAGTTTGCACAAATGAGAACAGAGCGACAACCCATAACTGTGAGCTAGCTTGTAGGTCCTGTACATGGGTTGGTAACTGGCAGAATTTTCAGTCATGAGGGAGGGACATAAAAATGTAAGGAAGTGTTTCATTGGGCACAAAATAAGTATATCTTTTGATTTCATGATGTCTTTTTTCAAGTCAAAATGACTTGCTTGCAGTGGCAGGGGCTCTGTCCCCGCCGAGCCCTTTGTTTCCGTCCTCACGGTGTGCAGGTGTCGAACGGTGGGTCACTGCTGCAGCTCCCTGTATGTGCTTATGCCGTCCCTCACATACACATTCTCACTGACTGATTAATTGGTGCTGCTTATTTATATTAATGTGGTGAATTTATTATGAATACAGTCCATCTGATACTCGTTTTGTTTCTGTTTTTCGTCGTTTAATCACTACTACAAATGCAACTGTAGCCAGTATCCCACTATCACTATCCTCATTCATATTTTAAGAAGCTACAATTTATATTCAGCCACAAAATAAGCCTGAAAGCTGGAAATCAGAACAGAAGTAGAGAGAGTTGTTGCATAGCGATGATTCACCATCTCATCTAGTTGCACTGGTGTGATCCAGCAGGTTTTTAGAACGTTGCAGGCACAACGGCACAAAGCCAGTGCCAACAAGGTTTGCCTGAACTGGGCTTTATGGGAAACGTTGGATCCAGCATTTTAAGAGTTTAAGTCAGGATATTTTTGCCTCTTCTGCATCGATTTTGAGCAATTCTTTTTGAATCATGTCTCTTGCAAGAACCTCGAAACCCCCAATTTTACATCAGTGCATTATAAAATTGATGGAGTAGCCCTTTAAATGCTGCATTATGGTTAAATGATACAATTTTCTCAACTTCTTTGACTATTCAAGCTAAAAGAAATGATGAGTGACTGACTCTACTGGCAGAGCCATTAGTTACGCACATGCACATCGCTAATAATTTATCACCTATGACTAGTTAGATTAAATATGAATCTCCAACAGTCATACCCAAAATATTGTGACATAACTGATATTGGCGTAGAAGTTAAAAATATCAGTTTTTAATTTTGTCTCAGTGCTCAAGCTCTAACTGTGCTGCAGAGTGAGACTGAATAAGGTCGGGATGGATTTAACACTGGGAATAATTAATAGAGAGAACAATTAGAGAGAATAATTCTTGAATGTCATGATGTCTGGTTTGTCTATAAATTAGTTTAAGGATCTGAAGGATGTGAGTACTGTGTGTCCTGCTGTGATGTAGGAGGAAAGCAGGTAAATCTTGAAAGAACAAACAAAATATTGGCATTCATCAGCTCATAGCAGCTCGTGGGAAGTTGCAAAATATGCGAACATCCGTGTGAAAGGTGAGCGTGGCTCTGAGGTAAAAAGCTGCTTATTTCTGAGTTACCTTGAATTCATAGGACTCCTCAATTACCACCTCCAGCTTTGTGTGCTCGCCCAGACAGGGGCAGCCCATCTTTGACACGTCCTCCGGTCCCACTGCTGTCTTGTTATCATTGGTGTCTCCTGCGGTGGAGGGACAGGGATGTAAACAATCAGCCAGTATCTCCCACAAGTGAGAGATGCAATAGAATAAGATATCATATCTCCATGCATACTGTTTGCATCAATTAAGCATATCAATGGGCAACTAGGGCTGTCAGCATTAACGCGTTAATCACAATATGATGAAGGTCCGAATATGACACTTTTTTTTTTCTTTGATCATGATTATCAAATACTGCTATTTTATTCCCTCGAAACAACCTAACTAGTAGTCAAGCCACCACAGCGGCTCCCTGCTGTCACAGTGATGGATAATAAGAACACCACTGTGCCTTTGAATAGTTCATTTCACTTTTCAAGACCCCCCAGAAGGTTCATTTGACAAGTCAAAAGTAATATGCACCTTGTGTCAAACAGGATTAAAATATCACCAAAGTACTTTGAGTTAAGCGTACAGGTGCAGCTAATGATACTGATGTCAGCAGGCAACCGCATACACTATAGCAGCACTATAGTGGAATGTGCGAATCGCCACAGACCCGTGGATGAAACTCAATCGAAGAAGTTAAATACAGCGCTTGCTAAATGAGTGGCAACTGACTGCAGACCAATCAATATCATGGAAGACTCAGGTCTAAAGCCCCGTTTCCATCAAATACTTTTGGTATGGTACCTTTGGAACCAAAAGTAACCCTTCAGACATGGTACTCGGACCTAAAGCCCCGTTTCCACCGAGCAGTACGGCATGGTACGGTTCAGTTCGGTACGCTTTTTTTTCCCATTTTCACTGAAGATGTGGAATATACACAGTTCACATTATGCGGCCGGCAGTCGGTCCAGTGAGTTAAGTTATTCTTTCTCAGACTCCAGCTGCTGCAAGAGGTAGCAAAATATCCTTTCATTTTATAGTTACAGTTTACTATATGTAAAGCTCTCCACAGTATGAACAGTGGTTACATGAGCCTCAAAACCAGCCACAGCTCAGCCCTGAGCAGAGTGACCGTCTGCTATTGACCAATCAACAGACTGCAGTGTTCACAGCTCCACCTTTTAGCACCAGATCTGTGTGCTAGGTACCCCAACAGAGGGGGGACCAAAAATGGGGACGGTACAGTTCTATTGGTACCATCCACAATTCTGCACAGTGGAAACGGAAAAAAAGTACCAAACTGAACTGAATCGTGCCGTACTGCTCGGTTAAAACACCTGCATTCAGTTGATTCCCAGTCAAGACACTCTGATAACAATTAATAGACCTTGTTAATATAGATGTCAAAACAGTTTTGAAATGCGCAATAATGGAATTCTAAACATGCAATTAAAAATGTGATTAATAGCAATTAAAAAATGAATAATTTGACAGCCCTACTTAAAACATTTGATGAGTTTGGGACACATCTGTTGTATTTCCAAGTACAGCCTGATTAATTTCAGGTTGTCTAACAAAAACTGGCAAACTGTATTTATTTATTCACTTCTTAAATGCATTTTGTGAATATGCATCCAAGAAGTGTTGTATGGCCAAAGCAAGTTTGATTATCGCTGTGAAAATGCTGATTTAATTATTTGGAGATCTTGGGCATGCTTGTTATAAACTGATATAAGTAATATCAAAATAACAAAATACCAAATCTGAAATTGATTGTGTTTCTTTTTTCTTTTGCAATGTTGTCAGTCATCACAGTAAATAGGATTAAAAGTATAGTTTGGATTTTTTTGATGCAGGTTGTATGAGGTACTGTTCCACAGTCAGTGTATTACCTACAATAGTCAGTAGGCACACCCCCAATTTGGAGAAGCAGGCAAGAGTACCACCACAGAAGCTAAGTAGTGCATTGCTGTGGAAAGGGGCAGCAGCAAAGCGTAATTTGGCCACCTAGAAAAATCAACATTTCAATCAACACAAAAGCCATTATAGCGCCCTATTCAAAGCCAGACTCTGTTGAGAAAAACAGTGATTTAACATTGGTGAAAATAGAACTGCTGGTCTACTGCTGCTTCACTCATTTATTTTGTTTGTGTTATAAATTGACTCTGGCATGTAAAAGAGATCAATTCGAATTCACTTTAGTCACAAAATTACACTAACTAGCTAACTAATCGAGGCAGTGGTGGAGCAGCAGTTCCCACGTTTACTGAGCCAAAATTACTGTTTTTCTCAATGGAGTCTGGTGGCTTCGACAAGAGCACACCTGGGGAACTGAAGCCACTAATGGCTTCCCTGTTGGAACGGGCTATATGATGGCAAGGTAAAGCAGTGAAAATACACTCAATATAGTGTGCGCTTAAACTGATATTGATTTTTTTTAGGTGGCTTAAATAAGATTTGCTGCTGCCCCCGTCTACAGCAGTACGCTGCGTAGCCTTTGTGTAGGCACTCCTGCCTGCCTTTCCAAATTTGGGGCATGCCAACTGCCATCTACTGTATATAAAACACTGACTATGGATAAGTACGACACACAACCCCACTTCAAAAAAAACTGCTATTTCTTTAATGTGCAGCTGTGTAAGGTAGGTCGACAAATGGATACATTTTTAATAACTCTCTGCCTTGCAGCTCTAACTCTGATCTAACGTCTCTATCCCAGCTATTTTAAAGTGCAACAAACCATGAGTCCTTCAGCATGAGGCCTGGCCACTGAATGCGCCAAAGGCACCAAAGAGATCACACCTTAGACCTCAGAGGTTCCCCAGAGTCTTTGGGCTTTGTATCAATGAATACAAACAGCTCTAGCCAAAGAATATAAATAAAATATAAAGGGCAGGGGATGCAAAGTAAACCTCATTTCCAGCCATGAAATAATGAGGAAAAATCACTCTGCACGCTGTAGCATGCAGCTGTGTCCTCAGCTCACCGTGTCTCTGCCCGACCTCCAGCAGAATGGGCTCCTCCAAAACAATTGTGAAAGTCTTGTTCTTCTCGTACTCCTCGTCATCGATGACCTTCACGTTCAGCAGCTTCCTACAAGCAGAGCAGTCAAGGGACAAGGAAAGGATGGAGCCAAACAGAGACGCGTGAATAAATGAATTAGCATCTTTTAGGAAATAACAGCAGCTGTCAACAGGCTCTATGCATTTTTTTTTAACCTATCTTATATGTAAAATAGATCCCTGGCAACCAGTGGGAGCAGTTTGTAATGCTTTTGTACGAATACAAACAGTGTAGCCAAGAGGTAGAGTGCCTACGCAATGAATCATGAAATAGAGATATTAGGTAAGAAGATAGAAGCTCTAGATTTTTAACAAATTAAAAAATATCTTGTTATACAGAGCACTAGGTGCAACAGTTTTTTTCTCAGCACCCCACAAGAGGGCGAACTCCTTCTCCACCATTAATTCCATTAGAGCACAAGAGAAATACAGTGAGATAGCCCACACCCCTCCCACACACTTCAAGTTATAAGTCCTGGGAAATTGAATTATTATCTTGTTCTCAGTGGAAATCAAGCACTGCCTATCTAGGAAACCATACAGGTTGGAGAAAACTCCTCAGACATATTCAGACATACAGCCTCGACTGTTGAAATCTGAGTGCCACGAAAACACGTGAGGATGCGGTGTCAAACTGTGACCGACATATTTGCCTCAGCCCGCTTCATTCTCCTACACTGTCACAGTGAGTCTTTCTCTCCCTCTCCCTCCATCTCCCTAATGATATGTGGGTGGCTGTCTATTTCTGTCTACTCATATACACTCAGGATTCGACACGCTGGAAGAGCTTTTTGCTTGCAGAAGAGAAGAAGTTTATTTTAAACATGAACGATACGTCATCGGCCGTCTAATGTCAAGGAGAGTCATACCAGTGGGAGCAAAGGGAATCGCAGTATCGCCTGGAGTCCTCGCAATGGAAACAAAGGAATTTGTCTTTTAAACAAGATGTTATTTCAAGTGTGAGATGTACAGGGACGCAGTAAGTTCACTTTGAAGCATCGCGGAAAGGCCTTAAAATAAAATGCGGTGGTTCAGTTGCCATGGACTGTGTTGTTTGATATTGCATCACACTTTGAGCAGATACAGTTTATCCTGCTTTAGTGCATGAAGACGCGCAGGATACAACTGGCAGGGATCAGGCAAACATTTACATTTTGCAGACCTCTTGCTAAAATACAAGTTAGAAATGGAGGGCTGTCAGAAAGCAGCAGGACAGTAGGTCCACATACTGCATTAGGCTGATTAGGTGGCAATTTAAATCTCAACCTCTGCCAGAGTGTAATGCTCATTTGCACTTATTTCAGACAAAAGGTGGGTGGTAATAACACAAAAGGTGAACAAATCAAAACTGACTACGGATTCCAAAATAGATTCAGGAAAAAAAAAAAAAAAGACTGAGGTAAAGTAGTTTACCGGTTCTGTGAAATAATCAAAAAGAACAAAATAACTTCAGGAAGCTACAAACCCCATAGAGCACTGTGTTAACATGTGCTGCCCATAGGGGGAAGGTAAAAGTTAAACACTGTAGACTAAATAATCAGTTCAATTTAAATAAAGTTATGAATCACTGTCAGAACTCTGAACTCAGAACATTAGACACTCAGTGAGGCTCATGGGCTACTGACAAGCACCATACCAACCTGAGTAATTATAACTATGGTCATAATACAGCCCAGCAGAGCTATTGTTAAATGTTGTGGCTCCCATATCCCTGAAGTAGGCTCAAATTAAACACAAATATATGTTCACAGTGTGGAAGAAAAAGAAAAACTTCCATGTGGCTTCTGAGATGTTATAACTTTGTCTTGAGGTCTGGCCTTGCAAGATTACCAGAAGCATACCAATGTAGCTAGCTAGTAGCCAAAGGGCTAACAGAGTGCTCCAGGGATGACAGTTACACACCCACATGTTTTCTTCAACAAGATAATCTTTTACAAATTCACACAACTTTTATGATTTTTGAAGTGTAACTGCAATGGCCTGAAATAAAACGTTTGGCTATAAATGAACTGCGCCACCACAGTTTCGTACAGCGCAATTACGTTTTGTACTCTCATTTAGCCACTTGAAAATGCATACAAACTTCAAAATTCACAAGTACCTGGGATGTCTGTGTTAACCACAGACATCCCAGGTAGCCAAAATGACCTGACCCAGAATCAGCCTGAACTCGGCATGCCAGATGAAATTAGCCAGGCCAGGTCCAGGTGCCTAACTCGGCTGAGACTCGGTATGAATTATGCCCCAGAATCGGGCAAAATCAGCTGGCCTGATTTCAGCTGTTGACACTGCCATCATTGGGCCGTTGTCAGAAATGACCTGGCCCAGCATCTGCCTAAACTCGGCATGTCATGTCAGATGAAATTAACTGGTCTGCATCTGGTCGCTTAACTCAGCTGAGACTTGGTATGAATGACAGCCCAGAATTGGGCCGAATCAGCTGGCCTTAGTCCGGCTGCTGAAACTGCCATCCGCTTTTGAATCCAATTTTACGTCTGGAACCTCGTGCTAATGACGGGCTTGAGACGTGCCCTCGTTGAGGACTTGGCTCAGATTAATCTGATCCCGGTGGGAACCACTTGCGACCGCATGCCTTTGCTGACGTCGACCCCTGCAGGATTTCAACCCTGGACCCTCCGCATGGAAGACGAGTGCTTTAACCACTACATTAGGGAGGAAACTGCCATCAGTGGGATTATTTTAGACATCCAACCAAAAACTCAACCAAGAACCCACTGACTTTGAGACAAGGGACCAGCAAGCGGCAAAATGCTAACTCATTTCTGGGATTTAGGACTCATTCCTAAACAAAAGCGTTCGAAACATTAGTTAAAAAAATAGTTAAACATTTTGGGAAATGTTCTTTCTTGCTAAGAGATAAGAATACCCGTACCACTCTCATGCCCAGACTGTCCTCCACAAAAAAAGTCCATATACTGCATTAGCTTCTGCGTAAGGAGGTGGTTGGGGTGGTTGGATGGGTCAAACAAACACAAGACTGTTACCAAGGAGACCACTGTTGGTGTCACGATTAAACCAAGAGTCAACGTTGACTTATTTTAACCTACAGTTAACTCATACAACATACCCTACTTATGTACATAACTTACTTAAGTACTTATGTTACAAACCATGATTGTTTGGGGAGTATTGGCAAACAACCTATTCTGTCATTGAGATCTGAGGACATGTTGCACACGTCTGTGCTCTAAATATGAAGCCAATAAACATTGGCTCAAAAAATTCTAATTTATGAACTTTTCCATCCATTTCTGTCATCAGATCATTGGGAGTTGGTTCATCAAGATAACAGCAGGTGGCGCTAATCCTCCAGTCAGGTGCTGCAGTGCAGCAGAAGAGGGTACAACACCATGACATAATTAAAGGGCTTTTGCACACCTAATATTACAGCTATGTGCTGTGAGAATTCATACAGCAGCTGTGAGAAGCCTCCGGAGATGACGAAGGGACTGTATGTCATTTATTTGCTGAATCTGTTTCTGTTGTACTTCGTCACATTTATCGCTTCACTACTTTCCCACTTCAGAATGAGAATCAGAAATACTTTACTGATCCCTGAGGGGAAATTGTGAATTGTTACAGTTGCGCCCATGTCAAGAATAGAGAATTATAAGAAGTAAGAACAAGAGTATGAAATAGATGTAAATATAAAGCAATATAATAAAATAAAACAGAAATGAAAATGTGCATTACGCTACAGTGTGTAAAACTAATATGTGAGATATTAAAATAATAAAAATAAAATATATCTTGTCACTGTGCCGAGGCTCTAAGTGTGAAATTTAACCACAACATATTCATCAACAGAACAAAACAAGAACAGAATAAGAGTAAACCTCCCCCAAGTGTACAGACATTTTTGCAATATTTTGAGATTTGTTCAAGGGTTTGGCATTTCCACTTAAGTTTTATACACGCAAATTGTAAATGCGCATAAAAGAGGAAGATGGAAAGGCCCCTAGTGACTTCTTCATGCTGGAAGAACTCCCTGTAAGACCGCGACTCGTTATCTCAGCAAGTTGGTACATTTAAAAATATCTTTCTATCCTTTTAAATTGGCGATAAATTCATGTGGTGTTTTTATTAGTTGTCTCACTGTCTCCTTTGTTCTTCTCCGAGTTTGAAATGGTCGGTATAAGAATCAGGTTTACAGGTAAAGTATCACCACCCAGTTCTGCTTCCTTAAACCTGAATCTCTGCAGGTCGATGTAAACTCTCATTACAACAGGCACAGTTGGATTCTATCAAGACAGTAAAGCCCTCACTTACTGCAGAGAATCTGCCATCTCTGCTCGCCTGTTGGCTCCATTCTTATAGTTTCTGAGAAGCTATAGAGGGTAACATAACCTGCTATTGTATCTGTCACACACAAATACGAAGGACGTCAGGAGGACTCTATTGTCTGATCTCTGGAGATTGATCTCCGTTCCACCTGAAACAACCATAATCTCTGCGGCATGTGTGGAAAGACGAGCTGGCTCTTCACATAAACCTGTAGAAGGAGACAGTGCTTTTTCTTCTTCACTCTGTAAAAAGTGTACGTTTGGTCTTTACATCAGTTAGTTGGATTAACGTGGATTACCGGTTAAATTAAGGCTGATTAGAAGGAAAATCAGATGGGACTCGACTCTCAACTGTGTGGCCTTATTTTATTCATCTGGAGTTTCCCTCTCCTCTGCATTGTGCGTTGGTTTGTTAAGGATGCTCCAGTTTCCTCCCACAGCCAAGATATATACAGTAAGTCATGAGGACTGGAGACTCCAGACTGCCTACAGGTATGAGTGTGAGTGATTTTATGCCTCTGTGTTCACCCTGGGAGAGTATCTCTGCTTCCTGCACTCTGCATGCTGGGACAGGCTCTAGCCCTCCTGAGAGCCTGACAAAAAATGACGCCAGTAGGGAGAATGAGTGAATGCATAAATGCATGACAGTATGTCAAATGCCCACGACTGAACGGGGCATTGCCATTCAGTTGCAAGAATCATGGATCAAACCAGTGTGTCAGCATGT